CCCCAGGGAGCTCTGGTGGCTTACCAGTAAGGAACTGTGCTGCCAACACAAAGGTGTGCAGTTTGGACCCGTATTCACCAGCTGCTCCATGGAACAAAGATGGGCAGTCTCCTCCTGTGTATTATTATACTGCCTCTGAAAACCCACTGGAGGGTCAGCTATGAGTTTATTACAATTCAATGGTACAGCAACATGACCTCTGCCAGATTAGAAGGCTCAAAAAAAGAAACACACAATAGTCACAACAATAGACTTACATTTACCAGTGATTGTGAAGATGGCAGGGACCAGACAATGTTACACTCTGTTGTACACGGAGTCACCAAGAGTTAGAGGTAGCTCCGTAACAATGGACAACAACATGGGAAACAAACGGCAGACAGAATATTGTGTGAAAATAGTTTTCTACATGTTATATGTTGTTGTTGTTATGTGCCGTCAAGTCGCTTGCGACTCTTAACGACCCTATGTACAACAGCCCTAAACTCTGCTCTGTCCTGTGCCAATCGCACTGTCTCTGACACTCCCATCCCAATTATCCCAGTCACTGAATCAATCCACCTCATAGAGGGCCTTCCCCTCCTGCGCTGTCCCTCCACCCTCCCAAGCATGATGTCCTTCTCCAAGGACCGGTCTCTCCTCACAACATGTCCAAAGTATGTTAGACGGAGCCTCAGAATCCTTGCCTCCCAGGAGCCACCCGGTTTAACCCTTTCCAGGATGAATTTGTTTGTTTTCCTAGCAGTCTGTGGTACTCTCAATGCTCTTCTCCAGCACCACAGCTCAAAGGCGTCAATTCTCCTTCTATCCTCCTTGGTCATTGTCCAACTCTCTGATGCATAGCAAGTGATTGCGAAGACCATGGCCTGTATGTTATATGTAGAAAATTAAATAGAAGGTAAGGCTGAGAGAGAATTCATATGATCCTGAAAAGCTGCACACAAGCAAGAGCTTAACAGAGAGCTTAAGTGGAGACTTCTAGAGCCTGAAATCAGAAACTAGAGCTTCACTTGATTACGCAAGAAAGATTCACAGGACTCTATACGTTTACTGTCCCGAGAGTCAGCGTTTCTGTGATTGATGGGTCAGGTGCCACTGAACTTCCAAAAGGAGCTGAAAACTCACTCTGGAGGGAATTAGTCTCATGGTGGAAACTGTCCTGGATGGTTTCTTTGCTTGTATGTTTTCCTTTCTTTCAGTATCATGACCTTTCGCCTCAGGGGAAGCAGCATGAGAAGGGAGCCTGCAGAGAAGCTGCATCTAAATCCAGTTCCTTTCCTCACGGGTCACATGTCCTTGGACCATTTATTGAATCTCTTGGAGTCTTAGGTGTCTCATCAAAAGAATAAAGATCATCATCCTTGTTCTTTCTTCCTCCTAAAATTGTATTGAGGCTTAAATAAGAAAACCACTATGCAGATATTTTGTAAATAGTAATACACTGCACGTAACAAAAAAAAAAGGAATAATATCCACTGTGTTAGGAAACATCTAGAACTTTGCAAAGCTATTGCTTTGATTTCACAGTACTGGAGTAAACCACTTTATTTTTTTTTATTAGGCAGAGGGAAAGAGTCAAAGAGATTGACTTTAGACCAACAACAACAACAAGACGACTTTATGTGCCTCTTTTATACAGAATAATTTATTACAGCATAAACCAAATACAAAGCTCTGAATAAATAGTCTCTTTCCAGTCATCACATCTGCAAGTGTACCCGTGCACTGCACACTTTTGTGTGTGCATAAGGACATGGGTGGTACAAACACATTTAATGCTCAGATGATTATGTGCTGCAGGAGGAGGTTTCCAGAGCCAGAATATATCCTTGCAGGTGAAAGCTGCATATCTTGGAGTAAACGTATTGAGGATGTGTTTCAAATGATCAGAATAGTAGCTCAGTTTCTTTGTCCTCCAACTCCTGTTCAGGAAAGCAAATTAGTAGCAGGTAATGCTGCCCGAGGGTTTGCAGCTTTCTCCCATGCTCTTCACTCAAATTTTTAAAACATTTCCAAGAAAATACACACATCAAAATATCCCTTCATCTGTCTGGAAGTCAGGATTCCTCCCTGCTCACCTTTTTTCTGGACTCTTATTCTCATCAGGCATCACCTTTAAGGATGTAGAGCATAGCAGGGTGTATGTCCACACATGGAGATCATACAGGGCCCAGGTATCCTCATTGCCCTCTACCACCCTGTCCTGAGCCCACCTCTCCCAGGAACGTCAGTGTGAAATCTTGTGTGGGTAGCAGAATTCAGTGATTGATATTACAGTCTAAGACAGAGATGCTCTATCTCAAGCAAACAAAAAGTGCTTGCAGGTAATTGTGCTTCTTTTCTGATACTTTATCCCACCACTGGTCTGAATATTCTCTCAAAGCTCTCCAGTGCCACACAACACACAGCTCTTGAGGCCACCTTCTTCCTTTTCTATATATGATCTTCGTGTTATGCAGAAATTTTCCCCACTAATATTTTTACCCCTGGTCCTGATTTTGCCTCCTAGCACAGCCAGAGTCTTCTTTCCCATGACAATCTTTCAGATATCTGAAAATATCTCCCATAGTCCCAGGATTCTTCTCTTTTCCAGGCTAAGTACTCCCTGTTCCTCCTCTTATGGATTCTAAAATGTGGTTAATCCTGAGTACAGGCTTCAGAATGAAGCCCTTGTGGCAGATATTTTAATGTTACTTGCATAGTAGGGCACCAGAGTCCTCTATCTTGGTCCCACGAGCTGGTTATGGATTGCTGATGAAGGAAACACTTATGGCCAAGTCAAGAACAACTCATAACCTTAGAAAGAAAAAAACAAAACAAAACAAAGCAAACCAACTTCACTTTGCCTTATTTTGTTTCTAATACACCTGGCCCCAGTCTCGTGAGCTATCTGGCATTCATTTCAACGGAAAGTTGTCTCCTTGGTCTTGGCAAATAAGAAATTCATTCTCTGTCTACGTGTGAGACTACACTGAGCACTCTATTCTACTGTAGCCCATCATTAGAAAGTACTTCGAAGCAATATAACGTTTACTTGGGAAGATCCGTGAGTTGGATCTTCTCTTCTTCCCCGACTCAGTTTTCTTATCTGTAAGTTGGGAATAATAAGTCCTATACTGAGTCACAAGAGAATTGTACCATTCAAATGAGCTAGTAGAGAAAAGCACTTTGCACGAGACTTTTATATATATAAACTGTGTGTATGGTACTTGGTCAGGATGAGATTGTAGACTATCTTCATCTCATCCTTACCCTTCAACTCTTAACTTTTTATAAATGAGGAAAAAAAGAACAAAAACACAAAATTATTACTTTCAGAACATGACATTGGAAGTTGCTGTACGTCACTGCGAAGGTGGATATTGTAAAAAGAAACATTTCTTTCTGTAGCAAAGAAGACAATGATTCTGCACGTTTGGGACATAGAAATATCTTCATTTTATATTCTAAAATCCTATGCAACAAACAGATATTGCCAGAATTTTCAGTAGTCATGGAGCCATTAACCACACACAAGATGAAGGGAAGGCAGATACCTCTGCTAAGTAGCAAAACTTACCTGGGCCAGCACAATCGCCCTTATCCAGAGCACGGTTTTAGGATTTGATGTTCACCAGGAAAATCTTGTGTTTACTTTAAAATACTATTTGTGAAAGTTCTCCTAGAATTATCTGCTGAGGTAGCAGCAAATTGAATTAAGTCAATACGATGGAATTTGTAGTAGTGTTAAAACAAGGGAGAAAATACCTTTCTCAGATATTGAAACTTCAAACATAAGAAATGAATAGGCTATATGATAACTTATAGTAATGATTGTTTATAATGTTGTTGCAGGAGATTGTTTCAGAAAAACACACACACACACACAAAAAAAGCAAACTAAAGCCCAACAACAGAGGACTGAACTCCTACAGTTGGAATTGTGATACTAGATGTACCTAAATTGTTGGAAAGGCTCATAATGTCAATAAGGCTGGAGATTCATGGACCAAACTAGTATAAAAATGTTTCCCTTTCTCTCCTAGAAATGCACGCTTAACCAACTACAGTTAGGAAGGAGGGTGGGTGACAAAATGAAAACACAAGGCAGGTCCTTCGTTAAAAAATGAAAAGTTCCAAGATGGTGGCAGCAGAGCACAGAATTCCAGAGTGACTGCACAGGATGCATAAACACCACAAATCAGGCCCTGCCTGATACAGGAGATGTTTCAGCAACTTTGCCACAACCTTGGCTAATGATATGTGATGGATATTAGCAATGTGTACCACTTTGGAGGTGAAGTAATGAAAGTCATGTGAGAGCTCCTTCTCTTCCATTCCCTGCCACAGGGAACACAAAGCTATTGTGCTGAGTTGGTGCAGCCATCAGATGGGAACAGACATCACTATACGGACAGCTGCCCTCAGAATGGGCCTAGAAATAAAATCTTATGTTAAGCCACTGGGATACGGGGTTGTTTGTTATTGCAGAAGATACCTAGCCTATCTTGACTAATAGAGAAAGGCCTAATAGGAGGAAAGGACTCAAATTTTTCAAATTTCTAAAACACAAGGAAACCAGACAGTAAAGACTGGTGTGATGGTTTCCATGCATTAAATCAATGAAGCTTCAAAAATAATCTTTAACATAATGCAATTCTAAAAGCATTTATAATGGTACTTTTCCTCAACTCATAAAGAAAAAAAATTATTCCAAGAAGAAAAAAATATTATCCTTCTTTTTAACCCTCCCATTCTCTCAGCCTACTGTCATCCTTTGCCCATTCTTGATTCACTGAACATCCCCAACACATTCAGAAAACAAGAAGATAGTATAGTTCTGGGGCAGTGTTCTCCAAAGAAAGAATTTTATCAAACACACTTTAATTTATCATCATGATTTGATGAGTATATCCAAAATGCCAGCGGATACTGTTAACGTCTCATTGCTTAAAAACCATGAACAGCAGTCCTTTATGTATTGTTTTTCTAACGTAGCAGTTTCAGATATCACATTTCCTTCAAAGTTGTTCTTCATTACTTTCAAACACGGGATTGCTGTAGGACACCTCCCTGCCACACCCTGACATGTCACAGTAGGAGGTTTGGTTTAGTGGAGGCCAACTGGAGTCATTTGCCAAAGCTCTCTGCCATATCCGATACTGGCTTTTTGATTGGTAGCCAAAACGTCTTTTGATTTCTGTCCACAACATTCTGTTTTCAATAACAGCCTCCTGCAAAAGAAAATACTGTTTATAATTAGAGGTCAAGTGCTTGCATGATATGGCCCTTGCAAAAACCATAAGGCACTACTAGATCAATTGCACAGAACAAACTTGATGTCTTCATCAACTTGAGCTCTGAAAAAAAAAATTAGAAGTGGTTTAATGAGATAGATCTCAACTTTCCAAACTTTTCCACTTAATGTTACTCATCGAGGAGAGGAGAGGAGAGAAGAGGAGAGGAGAGGAGAGGAGAGGTGAAGCAAAATGAGTTGAAGTGAAGAGAAGATGAGAGAAGAGTCCTTCAGACCATCCAGACCAGACAGGAGGGAGGAAAGTGCCTCAGAGGCCACAATACACTGGGAATACAGACCGACTATCTAGACTTGAGAAAGAAAGGAGCCCAAACAGCATTATTGGAACTGTCCCAGCTCCTCAGGGACTTTGTCTGCTCTGACCAAAACAGTCTTTCTCTCTCATCCACCACAGAAGAGGACACAGGCACATCTCAGCACTGAGACTTGGGGAGGAAAGGGTCCTGGACAGCACTGCTGGGACTTTGCCAGCTCCCAGGCTTTGTCTGCTAAAGCAGAAGTGATCTTTCCCACGCAGCCTCAGGACAGGACAAAAGTACACAGTGGGCATCAACTTGGAGAGGAAAGTGTCCTGGGCAGCATTCCTGAAACTTTCCCAGCTCCTCCCATCCAACCACAGGAAAGGCCACAGGCAGAAACAGCCAACTTTGCTTACTCCTAGGACAATGAATAAGGATTACAGAAGAAGAATTGATGCCTTTGAGCTGTGGTGTTGGAGAAGAGTTCTGAATATCCTATGGACTGTCAAAAGAACAAAAAAATGTCTTGGAATAAATGCACCCAGAGTCCTCCATGGTAGCAAAGATGGCAGAGCTTCATCTCTCATACTTTGGACATGTAACTCGCTGAGTTTATTCCTTGGAAAGAGACATCATGCTGGGAAAGATGGAGGTCAGCTAAGGAGAGGAAGACCCCCAATGAGATGGATTGACATAATGACTTCAGCAATAAGGCCAAGTGTGTCAGAGATGAGGAATATGGTATATGATAGGATAAATTTCAGGTCTGTTGTTCATAGGGTCTCTATGAGTTGTACTCAACTCTATGGCACCTAATAACAACAACAAAGGGCAAACTACCCCCTTCCCTCAGTCTACAGGACAGGGCAGTGAACTGGACCCATCATAGGCAGTAAGAGAAACAGACTCAGGCTCTCTGCCCCTCTAAGGACAACTTGATAAGAAACGTGTCACAGGAAATGGGGAACAAAATTGCCCACAGATGAACAGCAGAGAAGATTGTCATTGAGAAACTGAATCAGGAGCAACACTTGGAATCTGCAACTCTACCAACAGCATCATAAAGATAAGCAACTGACAATTACCTACACAGCCACAACAGAAAATGCCTCACACATACCAAGAGGAATTTCACCTCATCAAAGAAGCAGAAGGCAGGAATAAACATTATGAAGAAAACAAAACAAATGGTGGAAGAAAGAATTGACACCATAAATAAAGAAGAGGTTGTCATTGTTATGTGCCATCAAGTCGCCTGCAATTCATAGCAACCCTATGTACAATAGCCCTAAACTCTGCCCTACCCTGTGCCAATCTTATTATCTCTGACACACCTACCCCCATAACCCCAAACACTGAATAAATCCATCTCATCAAGGTTCTTTCCCTCTTGCACTGTCCCTCCACCATCCCAAGCATGATGTCTCTCTCCAAGGACTGGTCCCGCCTTCCAACATGTATGTCAGATGAAGCTTCAGAATCCTTGCCTCCAAGGAGCAGCCTGGGTTCACCTTCTCTAGGAGAAATTTGTTTCTTCTCCTAGTCTATGGTATATATAACACTCTTCTCCAGCACCACAGCTCAAAGGCATTAATTTTTCTTCTATCATCCCTAGTCATTGTCCAGCTTTCTGATGCATAGCAAGTAATTGCAAAGACCATGGCCTGTATCAGGCACAACTTTGTCTCCAGACTGACATCATTGCTCTTCAGTACTTTGGACAGCAGACTTTCCCAAAGCAATTTTGAGAAATAAAATTTGAGAAAAATAAAGAGGTAAAAAAACTAAAAAATCATCACTAGACAGAGAAAGTACAACAAATACAGCACAAGAAAGAGCAGGAAAGCGTGGGAATTCAATCCAAAATATCAAGACCAGTATTACTCAAGTTTTCAACATGTTGGAGGTTTAATAGGAGATGAACAGAGAAAAGTGAAATAGAAGACAAGAACCTCAATGAGAACTTAAGAGAAGAAAAAAACAGAGGATAGAAAGAAGAAAACATTAGAATCATTTGGATAACATCAAAAGAAACTACATATGTTTGACTAGAATTCCAGAACATAGGGAGGCGGTGGGGAAGCATGGAGAAAATTGTGGAAATTCACTAGAAGAAAACTTTCCAGGTATCACAAAAAATGAAGAAATACCCATTCAAGAAGTTTAGCAAACATCAAATTGACTGTTGTTGTTGTTGTTATGTGCTGTTGAGTCGCTCGCGACTCATCGCAACCCTATGTACAACAGCCCTAAACTCTGCTCTGTCCTGTGCCAATTGCACTGTCTCTGACACTCCAATCCCGATTACCCCCGTCACTGAATCAGTTCACCTCATAGACGGCCTTCCCCTCCTGCGCTGTCCCTCCACCCTCCCAAGCATGATGTCCTTCTCCAAGGACTGCTCTCTCCTTACAACATGTCCAAAGTATGTTAGACAGAGACTCAGAATCCTTGCCTCCAAGGAGCCGCCTGGTTTAACCCTCTCCGGGATGAATCTGTTTGTTTTCCTAGCAGTCCATGGTACCTTCAATACTCTTCTCCAGCACCACAGCTCAAAGGCACTAATTCTCCTTCTATCATCCTTGGTCATTGTTCAACCCTCTGATGCATAACAAGTGATAGCAAAGACTATGGCTTGTATCAGATGCACCTTAGTCTCTGGAGAGACACCATTGCTCTTCAGTGTTTTGGGGAGGTCCCTAACAGCAGACTTTCCCATGGCAATACATCTTTTAATTTCCTGGCTACTGGTGCCAAGAGTGTTGACTGTGGAGCCAAGCAAACTAAAGCTGTGAACAATCTCAATCTCTTCACCATCCATCCTGATGCTGCCAATTGGTCCAGTGGTTAGAATCTTTGTCTTCCAAAAAAAGTCAAAGATAAGGATAACAGAGTCACCTAGAAAGGACCAATCCGATTAAGCTCTGACTTCTCAGCAGAAACAATGACAGAAAGAAGACAATTGGACAGCATTTACAGAAGGCAGACACAAAACAATTGTCAGGCCAGGATCCTATACTTAGTAAAACTGTCCATCAAATATGAAGGAGAAATTAAGTTATTTGCTGAAGAGCAAGAACTTAAGGAATTCACGAGAATGAGACCAACTCTACAAGAAATACTAAGGGAAGTCCTTCACTCAGAGACAGCAGAGAAAAGGGGATAAAACAAAGTAACAACAGAAAAAGAAGAATGCAGCACAATGGAAACAATAAAACATGGCCTATCAATAATCACGCTGAATGTAAATGGCTTAAATTTACCAATTAAGAAAAAAAGAGTAGCAGAATTGATAGGGAAAAACAAAACAAAGTGCATCAGTTGTTTGCCTACAAGAGACACATTTAAAAAATGAGAAAGACAGACTAAAATTCAAATGGTGGGGGGAAAAAAGTATACTGAACAAATGGTATCTATAAGGAAAACTGAAGTGGCAATTTTAATCTCTGTAAAAAAATAGTTTTCAGGATGAAAACCACCATAAGAGTTAAGTAAGGATATTTTATAATGGTTAAGGGCACAGTAGATCAAGAGTACATAAACTTAGTTAACATCTATGTACCTAAGGATGTTGTTTCTGTGTACCGTCAAGTCTCAACAGACCTATAGCTCCAGCAGGTTTTCAGAGGTGGTAAATCACATGATAGGCCCACATTTTTCTTGCAGAGTAGTTGGTGGATTTGAACCACAAACCTTTTTTTGGGGGAGGATGCACAGAGATTGAAACTCATATGCACTGCTGTTAGATTATAAAATGGTATACAGCCTCTACGGAAGGCACCTTGGTATTTCCTGAAAAAGCTGAATAATCTCATATGATTCAACTACTTCGCTGTTAGGAATATAAGCCAAGGAAATCAGAACTGAGATACAAATGGAGATACGTACATCTATGTTCATAGCAGCATTAGTTACAATACCAAGAAAATGGAAACAGTTCAATGTTCATTAAAACATGAGTATATTAAGAAATTGTGGTACATTCACACAATGGAATACTATGCAGCACTAAGGAACAACAATTTAAAAAAACAAAAACACAACTATATAACACAGGAGCATCTAGAGAGCTTTATGCCAAGTGACATAACTCAGTCACGTAGGGACCAGTACTTCATAAGACTATTTTTGTGAAAATAGGCTAACTGAGCAAGATATGAGTAAATGTTCAAAGGGGGAAATGGGTGGGGAGAAGGGGAGCAGAAACTGAGGAAGGGAGAAGATCACTAAGATAGCAGAGGTTAGTGGGAAGAGGAGGGGGTAAAGGAATAGGCATTCCAAGTCTATGAGGACTTGAAAAGACTGGATAATAATAGGTATAATGTTGTTGTTATAAGGTGCTGTTGAGTCAAGCATGAGTCATAACAACCCTGTGAACAATAGATCTGAATCCTATCCTATCTTATGTCATAGATCAATAGTAATTAATTATTTAAAATACAATTAATATAAGGATTGTGGAAAACACAATGCACATGAATGAAACACATGTACATGGATGATTGAATGCAAATTAATAAAAAAAGATAGAAAAGGGTTCAAGAATCCAGAGACAGAGCTTGAAGAGGCTCACCTCAAAGATGAAATTTAAGTCTCATATTTAAATTAAATAACAGTTAAATTTTGCTTTCCATTCCATACCACATCTGTATTTCTTTAATATAAGGATTGACCAATT